GATTGTAGGCTGGCACTCCCCAGATCTATGTCTAAATTCCATATATGAGAGAGTACATGCCATGTTTCTCTTTTTGTGACTGTGTTACCTCACTCAGGATGGTTTCTTCTAGTGTCATCCATTTGCCTGCAAATCTCAGGATTCCATTGGTTTTTTCTGCTGAGTAATACTCCATTGTGTAAATTACACATGGACTTTGAACTCCCATCCAACACTGTGAGATGCACTCTCACCCTGAACTCTTGGGGGAGGGTCTAGGCCCTGCCCTGGATGAAATGACAGACAATGGACACCCGCATGGAGGGCCTCACCCTCCCTGGGGAAATGAGGGGATGTTGGGGGGGGGTTGGGGAGTGGGCACGGGAGGAAGGGAGGGAAACGGAGAGGGACCTGGAACTGACTTGTGAAGCAACCTAGTTTCTAATCTAAATTTAAATTTTAAAATAAATAATAATAAAAAAAGAAAGGTTTATATATTAAACCAATACAGCCACGAAAACAGATGGCCTGCTCTAGAGAAAGGCAGTAATGCAAGGCTCATTAACCAAGCCTTGGGATGCATGGCAGGGCAGGCGTGGTGCAGCTTGAGATGAGGCAGGGAGATCACCATGAATCTGTTTGCACTATACTGTGAGACTTTGCACAAAAGCAAAGCAAAACCTGAAATGCGTGGCAGGTAGGGAATGCTTTCCCTGCATCCCAGGTAAACGCTCCCACCTCTCCTGAGTCTGAAGGCGCAACCCTGAACATGGGCAGTTCCTTACAAAAAACAAAACCACACTTGCCACAGGACCAGCAACGGCGTTGGTTAGCTCACAAGCTAGGGACCCACCACCGGTATAAAAAAACTGCACACCCCTGTTCATAGTGGCTTTACGTGCATCTGCCAACTACAGTGTCCTTCGGTGGCCGAGGGATAGTTCCAATTAAAATAACTCCAGATAGTGGAATGCTACTCAGTGCTCACAAAGAATCGAGTTGTAACCTAATGCCTGGGTTTGATTCCCCAGGGCCGCATGAGCAGGACAGGCAGCCTGCATTTCTAATCTCAACACTCGGGAATGGAGGCAGGAAGACCAGAGGTTCAAGGTCATCCTCAGATACATAAAAAAAAAAGTTCAGGCCGGGCGGTGGTGGCACACGCCTTTAATCCCAGCCCTCGGGAGGCAGAGGCGGGCGGATCTCTGTGAGTTCAATCAAGCCAGCCTGGTCTACAGAGCGAGTTCCGGGAGAGCTCCAAAACAATACAGAGAAACCCTGTCTCGAAAACCCCCCCAAAAAAAACAAAAACAAAAACAAAAACTTCAGAGCCTCTCCAAGGCTGCTGCATAAGACCTGTCTCTAGAAGGAGAGAAGAAAGGCTGGGGGGGTGAGGGGCGTGAAACGAACTTAAGTCCCCTCAGTCCCCTCAGTGCTTCTCCTAGATGAAGAAGCTATGCCGAAAAGACTATAAACTATGGGACTCCAGCTGTATGACAGTCTAGGAAAAGCAGACCACGGACACAGTAAAGAGACCAGAGGTCTGGTGGATGAGTTCTCAGGACAGGGCGTTTTTGAGGGGACAAACTGCCGTGTCATATTCTAACGATGGGACACTTCTCAAATTCACAAGGTGTATAATACCTCATGTAGACTGAGGACACTGGCCAACAATGCTACGCCAAACGGGTTCGACCGGATGAACGCACCCCCTGGGGCACCTGACACTGACAGAAGGGGGCACACACCGGAACGCCGGCCTTTGGGAAATCTGTGCACGCTGCCCGTCTTTGACACAAACCTGAAACTGCTACAAAACAAAAGACGTTCGAAAAGGGGGAAATTTTCACCAGAGTGAGTTATCCAAAAAAAAAAAAATGGCAGCTATTATTTTTAAACCACAAAACTTCAAGATAGCTTATCATTTAGCAGAAGGCAAGTAAGACAGCCATCTATGGAAGCGACTGACTCACTGGCAAAATACAGCCATCTAGGGAAGACACTTGCTCACTCACTGACTGTAAGGAGTTTGTAACCAGGCAGGCAGAGAGGCCCGGCTGGAGGGAGATTAAGAAAGTGAGCATTAGACCCACTACCCGACTATTAGAGATAATAATGAAGGAGAGAGTGTGAAAACGCAGTCCTGGGTCTCCTCTCCCTAACCCGAAGGCCGCCCACCCATCTGAAACCCGACACCACAGACCCTGGGGACCTCAGGAGACTTCTTGAATCCAGAGGAACCTTGATAGCCCCAAGCCATGAATTTGCATCGGAGAGGTTCTCTAGTTGTGAACCTAGTGGCTATGATCCCTTGTGTGTGTTGCTTTGCTATAAGTGTGATGTAAAATATACTCAAAACCAACACGCTGAGTCTGTCACTCCTCCTGGGTTAAAGACCAGTAAGCGCTCGCTCCTGACGCTGACCAAACCTACCCTGGCTCTTCTCTGCTGCAACCTTAGTGTGTTGGATAAATGACTCCCCACCAAGAGAACCGCTCCAAGCTTCTCTCTCAGCTAATGAGGCCCCCAGGAGGAGCACTAAGGAAAGGAATGTAAACAATTGTGACAGAAGCAACCCACGGGCTGCTCTTTCCAAAGGAAAGGGCAGCTTCACTCCCTCGTCCATCTCTCCTCCTGGGCTACAGCTGGAGCGGTGACCTCACAGGAGGCGGGGCCTCACAGGAGGCGGGGCCACCTCTAAGGACCCTCAGAGTCCCTTGGCAGAGGAACGGGGGGGGGGGTATCTCATGCTGACCAAACTCCACGTGCTATGGATATGTTCTATTGCCGGCGGTTAATAAATAAATAAATAATACAGGAATAAATAAAGCTGATTTGACTCAAATAGCCAGGCAGAATACAGCCAGGCGGGAAATCCTAGAAGAGATACACAGAGAAGGGTGGAGGGCAACAAGAACCTGCCAGGGAAACAAGACGTAAGGTAACAAGTCACAAACCATACGGCAGAGCATAGACAAGAAATACGGGGTTAATTTAGTTGCAAGAGCTAGTTAATAATAAGCCCGAGCCAATGGGCCAAAAAAGTTTTTAATTAAAATTAAACCTCTGGGTGATTGTTTTATAAGCGAGTACCAGACTGGTAGAGGGGACAGAAAATTTCTGGCTACACCAGGGACCTGCTTATCCTGGGTGTAGTGCTGCTGCTGCCAAGCCTGACTTCTGAATAACCCTCCATTTCAGTCTGCTTAGCTCAAGAGTCCGTGAGACAAGTAGGAAAGGACCCAGGGTGAAGCCAGACTTGGAGTTCCTTCTACAGTGTCTCGGAAAGCTCAAGGCTCCAGGAAAGAATGAAGCTACTTGTCTAGTCTCTGCCAAAGAGCAGCTCTCAACCCCCTTGAATGGCCAGCATGGAGGATGGACAGCAAAATGGACCCCGGTGAGCTACAGGGGTGGGAGAGGCTGTCCACAGCCTGTCTGCTATTGTATTTTATTATGGTCCTGGGATTGAACCTAGGACCTGACAAATGCTAAGCTTACCATTGAGCTACAGCCCAATCCCCCTGTCCTTGACCTTCTAGGTGACTGTATCAGTTTTCCCCCACATGCTCCTGCCTTTAAGGGGGAATAAAAAAGCTGTAGAGATGGCTCAGTGATTAAGAACACTGACTGATCTTCCAAATGATCTGGGTTTAATTCCCAGCAACTACGTGACAGCTCACAACCACTTATAACTCCAGTTCCAGGGGATCCAACACATTCTTCTGGCCTCCATGGGTACTGAGCATGTCATGTGGGGAAAACACACACACACATAAAATAAAAATTTTAAAGTATCTTTTAAAAAAACAGAGCCCAAAACTCTTAGTGGACTTTAACAGCTGTCACACTCCTACACCTGTTTTTCATGCCGAGGTCAGGACTCCCCATGACCCACCTCTCTGCACCCCAGTTCTGCTGAGCGATTCCTGGGTCTCCAGCCATGCTGATCTCTCTCATCCCGCGGCAGATCCAAGTTTGTCTACAGCCCACACCCTCATCTCTGTCCAGGGTCCTCAACATCCTCTGCTACCTGGCTAGCTCCTTATCACCCTCTTAAAAATTATGTCTGTTATTATACTTGTGTGTATGCGCATGCATGTGTATATCTCGATGTACACACTGAGGTCAGGAGACAACTTTCAGGAGTCGGTTCTCCCCTTCCTTCTTCCTGTGAGAGCTGAGGACCAAACCCAGGTGATCAGCCAAGCCAGGCAAGTGCCTTATCCACAGAGCCCATCTCCCCAGCCCCCTTTCTGTTCCCCCTAAACACCTGCTCAGCAGCCCTGCGTGGTACCTCCAACTGCAATCCCATCACTCAGGACGTCAAAGCAGGAAGACAGCTGTGAGTTCAAAGCCAACCTGGACTGCCAAGGGGTTTCACAACCACTACGGGTAACTTAGCAAGATCCTATCTCAAAGTACAAAGTAAAAAGCAAACCAGAAGGATGTGGAGGGATGTTCCTAGCATGTGATACAGCATCCTGGGTTCAGTTCCCAACACAGGAATAAAAAAATTAACAAATTAAAACTATGGAAGTGGGGTGTGGTGGTGCTACATTTCTGTAGCCCCAGCTACTCGGAAGGCTGCAGGGGGAAATCCTGGAATGTGAGGCTAGCCAAGGCAACACAGCATGATAAAAGAAACAAAGAGAAAGAAGAAGCAGAATGGTGGGAATGGCTAACACCTCAGACTCTGACATAAGCCTGCAAAGGAAACCATTGAAAGAAAAACAGGAATTTACATTGTATCAAATGTTCCTGTAGGGCAGGTCAGGTACTTAGAGGTTATTCCCACCACCAAGAAAACTGGCAGCTGCTGGAGAAGACAAGCTACCAGCTCAGGTAAAAAACTCGGAGGGACAATCCAGGGCTCTGCCGTGGATTCAAAGTGCACACATCTGGGAAACCAGAGCCCAGTATAGGTCACGTTGCGGCTGGAATGTCCTCCTGAATCCTCCGTGTCTTGGACACTCCCACCCGCTCCTTTCTTGATGGGTCATCAGAAAGCCCTCGAGTCTTACCCCTGGAGACTTTGTAAACTTCGTAGAAGGAGTAGAAGTGGAAGCCCAGGGACGCGAGCAAGCAAAGAGCCAGTTCCCATCGGGGCAGCATTGCTGACGCCACTGGTTCCCAGTGTGACGTGGAGAGTCTCTAGGAGAGAAACAGATAAAGGGCCATTGAGGTGACACTGAACAATGGCATCCTGATGTCAACTGAGTTAGGTGGCACTTTCAAGGACATTCTTTTTCAAGGTGACACCAACATAATCCCAAACAAACCAACTCCCATTCCCATTGACCTTACCCCTTCCCTACATCCTACACACATACATACATGCATACACACACACTCGCACACACGCGCGCGCGCACACACACACACACACACACACACTCCCCATTTTCCCCATTTGTCTATGTCTCTACCTAGATGTATCACAGAATACATCAAAGAATTCCCTTTTCTTGTGCGGTGCACCTGTCTCCCCTTATGAAAAAGAAAAAAAAAAAAGAAACATGATTTATAAGGTCCCAGTATGGAGCAATTTGCCTAGGATGTAGCAATAAGGGGTGACCATGTCCATGAATAGCGATGCCTTTGAAAGACCAAGTAACAGAAAAGCGCACCTCCCCCGTTCTCCTTCTCTTCTTCCTCCTCCAGCTCTCTCTTCTCCTCTTCCCTTTCTTCTCCTACACACACACACACACACACACACACACACACACACACACGTGCACGCACGCGCAACCTCCTTTCTCACAAAGGAACTGGATTTCTGTCTGGACACATGAACTCCACACATGACACCATGCCTATCCTCTCATGAGTAAGGGAGGCTGGGGCTGTGGGTAACCTCCTCTTTTCTTCCCTTTTATGTTGACCAAAATAGGGACTGTCCCCCTTGAACCAAGAGGTAAGAAGACAATGTAGAAGGCGCACTCCAGCCCATGACTCCACAGACCCCCCTCACCCCAGAGCTAAACTGACCACACCAAGCAAAACTGTCACAAGAAACAGAAACACACTTCCTGACTGTCAAGTCTCCACTGGTCCATCGCTCTCTATTGTGGTGGAAAAGTCTACATCCAAGATAACAGAGAAAGTAACAGAAAGTTGAGTCCTAAATTACGCAGTTAGGGCAGGAGAGATGTCTCAAAGGTCAAGAGCACCGGCTGCTCTTCCAGAGAACCTGAGTTCAATTCCCAGCAACCACATGGTGACTCACAACCATCTGTAATGAGATCTGATGTCCTCTTTCTGGCCTGCAGGCATACGTGCAAGCATGCAGATAGACAGAACACTGTATACGTAATACACGAATAAATAAATCTTTAAAAAAAACCCTGCAAATTAAATGACCCGGAGTGTCAACAAGCAACAAAGCACTAACCAAATTTGTGCAAACATTTTAAACACTTGTTGCGGTGAACACCAAATTAAACGGTGCAAATTCTTAAGTCCCAAGCAAACATGCCGAACACTAAGCTGGGGCCAAACTTTCATTCTCTGAGTCTGTTTCCCTGGCGGCTCGTGAGGTAGGGAGGGCAGAAGAGGGAAGCATTTTACAGGTGACGGATGTGAGAATGAGCCTGGCCCAAAGACAAATACTCTAAATTCACATATTTGTGGAGTCCAAGACAGTCACACTCATGGAAGCAAGTAGTAAAGCCAAGTCCCGGGGTGAATGATCCATAAGTCCCCATTGCAGTCAAGTGGGACAAGAAAGTGTGGAAGGTAACGGCTGTGTGGGCTGTCTGTATTCAATACGTCACGGAGGATACTCTCGTCCAAACAGCACACTGTACATCAAGTAGACATAATTTTCCAAATTGAAATGAACCACTGTGTCCTAAACGAAACCCAGGTCAACCCCTGCTTCTTCCTGCCGCCGCCAAGACCAGCCTTATGCAGGCTAGTATATAGAATCCCTTTTCCTAAGAGCCTGCCACAGAACTTGCTATACACAAATCCATTACATGCTTCTAAGAGACAGCAAGGAAAGGTAATCCGGGCTTAATAAGCCATGGGGACAGAAGCCCAAACACGGGGAGGGATGAGGGGGGGAGGAGATCAAATTCTACCAACAAACTAATCCAGTGGGCTGGGTATCAAACACAAACTTCTAAGTCCAAAGCTGCAGGGCCAGGGTCCCAGCCCATAATGTTACTGATAAGAGCATGAAGTAGATAGAAGGCAGGAGAAACAGACAGGAAATTGATTCCATATTACATATTGGAGAGAAGAGAACTAGGGTTGATAATGCTTTTTAAGTATCTGGGGTTAATAAAATCAAAGAGACCCACACCCATAGGAAAAAAAAATCTTATCCACAAAATGTTGAGACCTCTGCCCACAGTGTTTGTGTTAGAATACCTCCCACTCTCATCTTTGCTGTTTAACACCTGATTCGCAGATGCCATCCCACAGACCCTCACAACTCTTTTTCTCTTTTCCAGGAGTCAGAATTCCACTGAGGGAGAAGAAGGGGTCCACACGGGGACAGGCATAAGCCAGCAGCGACCAGAAATGAGGACCAGAGCTTCCAGCTTCACCCTGCTGGAGGAGCAGCACCCACAAGTGGCACCTATCACCTGCTAACACAGAGGATGGGTTCCCTTTGTAGGAAGCCTTGTTTGCAGAATATAAATTTACATGATTCCCTCCCCCCTAGAAAACTAAGTCCAGACTCATGGGGACCCCTCCAAGGCCCACCAATAGATCTGACTCTTCTGAACACATCCTACAAAGGGAGCCCATCCTCCAAGCCTAGTGCCACCATGAATACAGGGGGTGGCTAACCGGAGGTGACCCCAGGACTCAGCAGAAAGTCTTTTAACACAAACTGGGGACTTCTAACCTTGCAGCCAGAGGCACAACTTCCCAGCTCGGCAACCCGACCTCCACCATGTGCTGTTTGAATGGGGTCCCACGTAAGGACAGTGTGGTGGCTCTTTTGTCCTCACCCTGGGGTCACCTGTGTGGCTAGAGTCATTGCGTAGCTCAGCAGATGGTGGAGGGCAGGTGCTGCTCACTTATGGCTGGCTTTCTCTGTGTTAGCAGGTGATAGGTGCCACTTGTGGGTGCTGCTCCCCCAGCAGGGTGAAGCCTGAGTTACAGGCAGTTGTAAAGCATGCTGGGAACCCAACTGCGATCCTCCAGAAGAGCAATGTTTGCTCTTAACCACTGAGTCTCTCTCCAGCCCCTCCAGGGAGCTGTTTTTTAATCCAATTGTTATAAACTTAAAAAAAAAATCAAACCAGAAGAAAATTAATCCAAAAGCAAAATTTTATGCTGGGTCCTCAATTTAGCATTCCCTGACTTCCACGTCACCCCAATCCTATCATCAAACACAACTCTTAAGTCTTTTTATATGAGCACCACAGACCAACAAAAGGGAATCAACTTTACAAGTCCCTAATTCAACAAAAAAATATACTGATCTGATATTGCATTTTCCCCTATCTCGAGGCTTTTTAATCACTAATAATACACCCTCTGTATTTCAGATTCCCCAGATTAGGGAAATCTGAACAAGCCAAATTTCTCTTACAGTAGAACACTTTACATATTTTTTTTATTAAAGCATACTTGTTAAAATACAGGCTTTTAAGACATGGGCTTGCTGTTGAGGTCAGGCTGCTCTCTGCCCTAAGTTACTCCATGTTGTTTAAAACCATTTTCCCCCCAGGCTGTTGCCTCGTCCTGAGAGACTCTGTTCTATAAGCAGCTTTCATTCCACTTGAGAAGGGTGACTCTGACCTGTTTGTTGTGCCCATAAATGCCACTATTTGACCAGCTCTTGGCTCGGACTGATAAACCACTTATCACACTGGGATCACATTAGCATATTAAAATCATATCAGGAAACTAAGCCAAGAACATTCCAAGCACATCGGACAGAGATATGGGTGCAACCCCTCACCTGGGCCCCAAGAAGAGGTCATCCAATATTTCAATGCCGATGGCTCCACCAACCTGTCACCTCACCAAGAGGAGTATACACTAAAGGAATCTGTTGTCCCAGAGGCTTCAGCTTGGCCCTCTCCTTGCTGCCTATCTGTGTGGCCTACCCAGGTTGCTGTCCATCCACACATTTCTCCTCCCATCTGTCTGAGAAATAATCTCCTGGGTTTTGATTTTTTTTTTTATATAGGGTCTCTCCCTGTACCCCTACCTTGCCTGGAACTTGCTATGTAAACTAGACTAGCCTGGCCTGAGGACACAAAGAGATCCTCCTGCCACTGCCTTTGGAGCACTGGGATTAAAGGCATGCCCCAGCACAGTCAGCCCGAGATTGAATTCTAATCTGGATTGAAAAAGAAATGACTTATCTGCCATCATTTTAAATTCCCTCCCTTTCATAAAAAGGTGCTTTTGCTTTGCTTTTTGTCTGTTTGTTTTTAGGCCACGTCTCCTGTGACCAGGCAGCCTTCAGTGATGTAACTGAATGACTGAATATCCCCAGTGCTGGACTTAGAAATACATGCCACCACGCCCTTTTAATACAGTATGGAGGATGCCACCCGGGGCTGAGAGCACGTACTGTAGGCACTCTACCCACTGAGCCACAGCCACAGCCCCTTGCAAAAAGGTTGTATTGTTCATAGGTGGAAGATGCATCGAAGATTTTTCCCCCTTTATTCCATAATTGGGCTTTAACTGGTTCATTCCTTTTTTTTTTTTTTTTTGGTTTTTCGATACAGGGTTTCTCTGTATTGTCTGTATTGTTTTGGAGGCTCTCCTGGAACTCACTCTGTAGACCAAGCTGGCCTGGAACTCACAGAGATCCGCCTGCCTCTGCCTCCCAAGGGCTGGGATTAAAGGTGTATGCCACCAACGCCCTGGCTGGTTCATCCCTTTTTGAACAAAGCTAACTTCCTTGAGTAAACCCAAGCCATCATCGCCTGCTGTCCTTTTTACAGGTTATCTGGCTCGATTTACCGACACATTGTTTCAAGTCCTTTGTACCTGTTTTACTGACATCTGGTCCCATAGTTTCTGGTAATTTCCTTGTCAAGTTTCACAATGATGCTATGTGGCCTCGTAAAAAAAAAAAAAAAAAAAAAACAAGCAGTAGGCAGTATTCTTTTCTCATTGTTTTTGTGATGTTTGGTGGATTTCACTGCGGAGCTAGCTAGGCTTGCAAACTTTGCAATGAGAAGGATCTTAAGCTACACTCGGTTTCTCAGGACTACTCAACTCTTCTGGTTCTTGTGTCTTTTTATCTGAAAGCCTGGGGAAATTCGCCTGAGTTTTCAAACCCATCAGCGTGATGTGGTTCACTAGGTGACCCGACAGCCTCCAGCGCCCCTCCCCACTGATGGAATGAACACCTAGACCTGCAAGGGGAATAACCCTCCTCCCTGAAACTGTTTCTTGTGGAGCATTTTGGTCAGAGTGAGGAAAAAAGTAGCTGAAACAGCTGGTGATGCCTTGAAACTCAGAACAACGGCTCTTGGCTCTAACGTGACTGGATTGAGAATCACTGTGAGGCAGGTGGGGACCAGCCCTGTCCTGTCAGTGGGGGCCTTCCATGGGGGTCAGCCGAGGGGCGAAGACCCACCTGAATGTGGGTAGCCCAGGCAGAGTAAAACAAGAACGTCACCTGAGGGCCCATGCTTCCCCTCTCTGCTTCCTGACCACCACATCCTGCTGCAGAATGTCCTCACTGCCAGGATAGACTGAAGATGCCCTCCTCCCCACGTGGTTTCTGGTATGCATTTTAGTCACAGTGACAAAACACTCACACACATAAATGCTCACCATCACTGTAAGGAGAGAAGCTACAATCAGTCAGTCACAGACACATCCACTCTGAGTGGGATAGTCTGTCACCCACAGAAGGGGGGGGATTGGCTCTGTGTGTGTGTGTGTGTGTGTGTGTGTGTGTGTGTGTGTGTGTGTGTGTGTAAACCTCTTAAAACAACTGCTAGGAATTGAACTCAGGACCTCTGGAAGAGCAGCCAAGTGCTCTTAGTCACTGAGCCGTCTCTCCAGCCCATACATCTCTATTTTCATGAGTCACTAGATGGGAAAAAAAAACCCAGCCTTTAATTTTATTTTGTTGTTTTGTTTCCAGACAGAGTTTCTCTGTGCAGCCCTGGCTGTCCTGGAAGTTGCTCTGTAGACCAGGCTGACCTTGAACTCAGAGTTCACCTGCCCCTGCCTCCTGAGGGCTGGGAAATGTGGACGGTAAACTTGTAGTGAGTCTGGGGAAGCATGCTAGAGACTCCTCAACACAAAGCCATACAGCGCTGCCCTAAGTCTGCCAAGAACGGCTGTGGGAGGTGTGGGTCATTCTCAAGGGAAAGAAGTTAACTGCCTCAGATGCCATTTTGCTACTGAAGGCCGCTAATAAAGTACATTGTATCAATTTGAGTTTTAATTGCATTGGATTGGCAATTGTTTCAATGCCATTTATAATCCCTGTAATTTTATGTCTTTTACTTATTTTGAAACTTTCTGTTTTGTTATTTGAGACAGGGTCTCATGTAGCAATGGCTGGTCTTGGCCTCTTTTTCCCCTTGGTCCCATGTAGCACCATCCAGAGATCTTTTCACACTTTTTAAACAGTCTCCAAAAAGGCCCACGGCAAGAACCAAAGGTTTTTTGTTTTGTTTTGTTTTGTTTTGTTTTTATTTCCCCCATGCAGGGAAGCACAGCAGCACCATATACCACACACCTGCCCCTGGGCCACAGTGACTGTGCCCATCACCAGTATATCCTGCAAACAGCCAACCAGGACCTTGACCTCACCCTAGCTAGGTCTTGTTTCTCCTCCAAAAGGAAGCAAAGCCAAGAACAGGTAAAGTCTTTGTACCCCCAAGAAGCGCCCAAACCGCAGCCCTCGAACAGGCTAGTCAGTGTGGTTGGTGGCCTTGAACACTCTTTGCTAGAGGGGAAAGAACACAGACTGTCTCTAGAGGCTGCTGCCAGACAATTGTTAACTGCATCTCTCAGGTGAGAGCTGTCTTTAGCCAACACTTAATCCATACGGAGAGAGAAATCACAGGGACAGTGGAAGGTGGAGAATAGAAATGGGAAAGGGAGTGGGATTCTTTGCCCGGATTGAAAGCCCCCACCCCGTCAGTCAATGCCTAAGAATGAAGACTGCAAGGGGCAGGCACACAGCAACCCCTCCCCCCCAAGTGGAAGGCCCTGATTCAAAAGCCACCAACACAGCGCCTCCCTCCCTCCCTACTTCCCTCTAGATTTTAGAAGGTGTCTCCCAGTCTTGCTGATGAACAGGTGAGGGAAACTGAGTCCAGAGAGTGGAAAGTGAGAAAAAGTTCTAAGTTAGGAACTAGGCTCAGTGGTTGAACACAGGCTTAGAGACCCAAGTACAGATTCAGGATGCACAGAAAATGCCCCAGGGCCTGTAATCCTTGCCATGTCTCCAGGGGCCCAGCCTGGGTTTGATTGAGAGACCCTGCCTCACTGAACACGGTGTAAGTGGGAAGTCTGGGTCTCCTGCGCATAAGGACGCACAAGCACACACACACACACACACACACACACACACACACACACACACACACACACACACACACACACACACACACACGGAAATAGAAATCTTATGCGCTGGACCCGGGCGCAACGGCCCTGTCGGCGCCCTCTCCTGCACGGAGCAGCAGAGTTTGAGGCTCCCCGGGCTCTGCGCCTTTGTGTTGCCGCCCTAGGGCTCGAGGACACGGGAAGCGGAAGCGCCGCTGCGTTTCTTCCCACGTCAGCGGCGAGCCTCCCACGACCTTCTGCGGCACCCGGGCCAGCCCCCTGCCTCCGCGCTGGTGAAGTAGTGGAGGGCCTTTGCACCAGCAAACCCCAGCGCCCCCTCCAGCTCCACGCGAGCCCTCCCGCCTGCTCTACGCGCGCGCCGCCGCCGCCCACGCACCCCACCTTCCGCTCTACGCGCGCGCCCTCCGCGTCCCCACGCGCGCCCCGCTGGCCGGGCTTGCCTAGCGCGGCCGGAGTCACCTGAGTCGCCGCCGGCAGAGCTGGGCACGCGGGGAAGTAGGTGTCCCCACCCCCCGCGGCCCGGGAAGGACGCGCGAGCGCAGCGCGGTTTCGGAGGCCGTGGGGGTGAGCGCCTGGCTCTGAAATGCCGCGCCCGGGTTCTCGGACACCGGATTGGCCGGCGCTCTGCACATTTACCGTAGCAAAATCACCCAGATCCTGCCAGAGCCTCAGGCGTCTGGATTTTTCCCGTGTTGAGTCTGGGGTGGTGGTGTGTTCGGCCTGCCCTGCAGCAAGCAGGAAGCCGACTAGGCCCGTAAATGGGTTTTAGCAGTCATGGTAGGAGTCGGGGGAAATCTCTGGAAGTCCTGGCTTTGCACTCTGTGAGACCTAAAACATCTTCAGTTCCACCTTCCCCAGCACCAACTAAAACAACCGTACCAAGAGTGCCAGGCTGCACAAATCAAAACACAGGGTGTCCGGTGAATACTGAGTTCACATCAACGGCGAATACTTTCTTGGCTACTATATGGCCTGTGTCATATGGGGACATACTTCTACTGTTTTGTTTTGTTTTTTTTTTACGTTCCAGAGGGCTGGCGAGGTGTGGCTCTGGGGCTGGGTAAGATGTTTGCTCTGCAAGTGTGAGGATCAGCGCCCCAGACCCTGGCCAGCTTAGCCTAAAGAGGAAGCCTCCGGTTCAGCTAGAGACCCTGCACCCAGGAAACCGGGTGAGGAAAAGAGGAAGATAAGGGAGTCTTGCTCTGCTTGCTTCAAGATCACTCAGAATGCACACGTCCTGTTTATCTGCAATAGCTGGTGTCTTGGGGTCTGGCCCCTGTAGTAAATCCCAGGGTTTGGCAAGGAAGGTGGCAAAGTGTGGGACCGTCAGACCAAGACACCCGTGGCACCCCTATGTTTATAAATGATCTCCGTGGCCATTAAGGTGGGGTCATCATCATTTATACACAACCCCCTTTACAAGGGTTCATCATCATTTATGCACAACCCCTCTCACAAGATCACAGTGTTCATCTGAAGACACCAAATAAAGACAGGTTTGGATACAAGTAAATCAGAAACATGGGTTGAAGAGAAAATGTCCTAGATTTAAGCACTGCCGGAGACCGAGCTCAGGCCTCACCTGCAGAAGACTCCTCCCTTCCCCCTCCCCCCCCGCCAAAAAAAAGGCTAAGCAATGAACTGAAGAATGTGCTTGCAGGAATATTAGAAGTGTTTCCTTTTATTACCCACAGACTCAATGCAGTTGAGGAAACATTAGAATTCAGTTGTAGGCAGACAAGAGACTTGAGTGCAGCAATGCGTTATGGTAAAACTATGTTATATTTTAAGAGATTGGAAACTTTGCTGGGCCTCACAGCCTAAGCTAATAATATACACTGAGGTCCCTTAAGACTGATAGCCTCCTGTGTACTCGCCCTGTTTGTTTAACCTGCTTTTGAGAGAACAATGTAACAATCAGCTTTGCTTACCTTGGCTTTCCTGTGTAATCAACGCTTACAATCTAAGCCCATGCGTAGCCATAACCTTAAATTATGTGCCCTTCCACACTGTGATCCAGAGTAATGCCTGTGTGTTCTAATAATTGTGCTGAAAACCCCAGAAACAGAGGTAGAAAGTAATCCCATAAAATGAATACTCACCCACAAGAGTTGAACACAACTTTCCGATGTTGGTTGTTTACTCTTTGTTATCTGGGTCAGCTACAGCCAGTGACGTAATCCCTTGTAAAAATCTGTTAAAGACTTCTGCATAGTCTCTGTTGTGCCCAAGTTGCAAAGTTCCCAGAGACCACCAGGAAGACCCACCAAATAGCAAAAGCAAGGTTTAATGATTGTTCATCCAACCATGACAAAGACCCCCCTCTGGCAAGCCAATACAGCAGCCTCCAGAGGGAGTGAAGTTCCCTGTCTACTGCTAGGTTTTAGAGGCAAAAGTTACAGGATTACATCAGTAGGTGCGGATTGGTTTCTGATTGGTTGGCATTTGGGGAACAATCAAGAAATTTTTCAAAGTCATGTTTTTGACGTGTAATACCTGTGTATCCATTATTCTCGCTGGTCAGTGCTGAGAGGGAACATTCTGTGGTTTCTATGGCTTTGTCTTGCTACTTGCAGGTGGCCTGTTGTATGCAGACACCAATAGTTTTCAGAACTATATCCTGGAGACCACAGGGGAGGTTTTGATCCCCATGGAGTTTCTTTTGTGGTCAAACAGTTCCCAGGAACCAAGCATCTAGGAGGCTATGGGGGGAGGAGGAGTCATCTGGAGTTTCTTTGTGTTCAGTTTTGGCCCTAGACTCTGGGAGGCCAGAGGATCTGGAGTTTCCTTGTGTCAGAGACCTATGTGTCTTTTCTGTAGCCTGTCATGGCTGCTAAAGCAGGTGGCTGAGTGAGGGTCTGGTCCCTTTATTTCTAAATTATTAGAAGTGAAGCCCTTGAGTTCAGTTTACCCCTTTCAGTGTCCCCCATTCCTTCCCTGTGTGATGCCTTCTGTGTTCAATAAATACAGAGCAAAGCCCTTTGTTAGGGACAGACACATGGGCACACAGTCACATGACAGCCCTAGGGCAGATACAGTATCAGACTCATACAACAGACAGACAAGTCAAGTCAGGAGACAGAGAGTCTGCAAGGACCAAACAAATGCATTATAATCCAGCCGGGTAACCAGGCTTATGATACCAGCTATACAGTTGACGTAGGAGGGCCACAAGTTCAACACCTGGGCCACGACGCGAGTTCAAGACCAGCCTGGACAATTTAGTGAAACCGTGTCAATATTTAAAAGCAATCTGACCGTGTATGAGAGACTTTAAATTTCCAAATGTGTCCTCTTCAGAACTGCTGCTCAAATGCATTTCCAGGTGTGATTTTTCTCCGCTGATCAGTACTGGAAACAACCCGGTTCTCTGTTTAAGCACATTTCTGCCTGTTCAATTATTTCCGCTGAATTTCATTTGATTTTGATCTTGAGGTCCCTTACATCTCTCATTAGTCCTCACCACATAAATTTAAGCTCTCTAATAAAAATTTGGCAAAAACTTAAAAGTAAAAGACATCAGCAAAAAAGGGCTGAGGATACAGCTGTAGACCCCTTTCCCCATGTGTGTGAAAGTTCAACAGGAAGGGGCTTGCCTAGTATGTACAAGGTGCTGGGGTCAATCCCCAGTATTACAGGAAAAGAAAGTTGCAGCAAGTAAATAAATAATTTTAAAGGTTGGCAAGTGTATGGTCTCAAGGGACTGCCGGGTGTGTTAGCTCTTTCATCAAGTACCTGGGAGAAACTATTTCAAGCAGCTTTTAAAGTCAGGATTGCAGTCCACAGTCGCTCGGGAACTTGGTTCTGCGTCTCGAGGCAGAATGGCAGTGTAGGAAGCTCGAGGTAGAACAAACTGGAAAAACCTCGTGGCTGACAAGAGGCACTGAGGGGGTGGGAAGGGGCAGAGAATGGAACAAAACATGATAGGGTGATGGGAGATGTCATTCTGTAAATCTGTCTCTCTTATTGGTTGTTGACTAAAGCACTGTTGGCCAATAGGGAAGCAAGATAGGTGGGACTAGGAGGCAAGGAGGATTCTGGGAAAGAGAGGCAGAGTCAGGCAACCATATAGGCTGCCAGAGTAAGAGGTCCGGACCCCTTTCTCTGGTAAAAGAAATACTTAGGTTAACAATTATGGGTTAAATACTTAAGTCAGAGCTAGCCAGTAAGAAACCAAGCAAACGGCCAACAGCTTCATAATTATTACAGTGTCTTGTGTGTTATTTGGGGACTGCAACTGTGGCAGGGCCTAGGCAGCTGGCAAGGAAGACTACATTCTACAATAGGGACCCAAGGACATGTCCCCGTGATAGACTTCTGCACGCTAGACCCCATGGACTACAGTTTCAAGCATCTGGGGATCAAGCCTTACACACGTGAGCCTGTGGGACCAATTCCTCTGCTACACAGGAATGGGTGAGCAATATTCCACCAGTAAATGGGCTAGAACGAGCCAAGATCCTTAAAACATTTCAACTTTGGCTGTTGGTTCTATTTATAGTGAAAGACCCCTACCCAGGACCCCCTAGGAAAAGAAAAGCAAGGCCAGGCCGTTGCCTAATGAAAGAATCCCAGACCAGGTATCTCACCCTCAAAACAGGATGTCTGTGATCACTATAGCAGTCATGGGACCCAGATAATAATTGCTGAAGCGTGCTGGGAACTTTCATATGACAATACCAGGACACCTAGTCCTTGGCAACTACCCTTGCCCCCAGTTGTGTCTATGATCACCATAGTAGTCATGGGACCAGGATAATAATTGCTAAAGTATGCCTGGGTCTTTTATAAAGTAATACCAGGAAACTTAGTCCGTGGGAACTACCCCTGCCCCCAAGATGAGCCAATGAAATGCCTGTTACTTATGTAACCATTGAAACTCTATAAATATTGTACTCCCTGAAAGCCCGGTATGCTCTGCACCCGAGTTGCAGTAGCATCCGCAGGCGCCTGTGTACTCAATAAATCACCTCTTGCATTTGCAGCCAGTGGTCTGGCCCCGGTTCTTGGGCAGAGGGTTCGGTTCAGTGCCCAGCGCTTTGATGCTGAGGTCTTTCAATAGGGATAAATATAATGGGAGTAGCCTATCGTATAGAAAATACTTTTCAGCTTTATTGAAGTGGAATTGCTAAAACTGCATTATCTAAAAGGTACAACTTGAAGTCTTCACATATGGACACATTTATGCAATGATTACCACAGCTGAGCTAATTAACGTCTCTCATCTTGCAGGAACCATTGTGGGTGCTTGTGTGTGTGTGTGTGTGTGTGTGCATGTGTGTGTGTAATACTTAAGACCCGTCCTCAGCAAATTCCAAGTCTGCACTATTTTTCACTGGCTTGCTTGTTTTATTTCACTTTCTTGAGACCTAGGCTGACTTAAAACCCCAATATGGCCTTGAGCTCTCCAATGTGGCCTTGAGCTCTGGACCTTCCTGAGTGCTGAGGTTACAGGCATGCACCACCACGTCTGGATAATGTTATGAACTACAGTCACCTTGTGAGACGGTTTATCTTAAGTTGTCCAGTTGCTGTTGGCCCCAGGCCCTACAAATCTGTAGAGACTGACCTGACTGGGGTGACCAGGGAATGAAGAAATGATAGTCATAAAGACACGTGTACAGGAAAGCAGGGATTGAGAGGACCGTGCGCTCTAACAGAGACACCAGCAGACCCAGAGCGCAGTGTTTATTATCTAGCACCAAGTGAGGCGGGAGGTTTACTGTGTGCAGCACAATGAGGAGTCGGGTCAGCTCATGTAGGTGGGAGGTCTCTGCAGTGGGGG